GGCGCGCGCTGTTCCGTACTTATGGCCGGCGAAGGCCAACCGCCGACCTCCACGATCGCAGGTAATTATGACCCACTTTGCATGCAGGGACTTGTCCAGTCCGTGCAGTTGCCGAGGCGCCATGGGAAAGTGAAGGATCCCACGTCCAATCAACCACCACGCGGCGCCCAAGGCCGCCGGCTATTAGGGCCCGCGGCGCTTTGCTCTTGCCCTTCCGCCTCCCTACACGGCCAAGTCCGGGTGCGCCTTGGGCCTGGGGGTTACTGTCGCCGTTCTGGGAATGGGGGTCCCCAGACTTGCCTGCCTGCGGCCTGCGGCGTGGCTCAAAAGGGGGCCCAGCACGGCCCATCTTCACCAACACAGACTCAAGACCCTCGCGAGGGGCCAAGCCTCACGGGGCGGACGACGCGGAGCTTCCTCAGGCACGGCCTCATCAAGCTGGCTCGCGAGGAGGCGGAGAGATCAAGGCGGGGTACCTCACGAGGTGCCCGTGACGCAAGCCATGACGACCAAGGGCGCCAGGCGGGCGCCAGCCCGCGCAGTGTCCTCCTTTCCCCTTTGTTGCAAAGGGGGCAAGCACAGCCGCAGAGTACCGAGGCATCAGGCAAAGGTTGCCATTTCGGTGCAACAAGACCAAGACCAGGAGGACTGCAAGACGGAGGTCATTGTGGAGTCCAAGACGGCGTCACCACCAGAGCTTTGTGCAGGCGAAGACTACTTTTGTCAGGATAGCTGGTACTAGCTGTCTCCCTTCAAATTAGCCCGCCATTGTTGGCTCCCTTCCCGCTCGATATTTGGGAAGAGGACCAGGGCCTCTATAAAAAGGACCAGCCACCCGCAGGATGGAAGAAAGAGGACAATCGAGAAGAGAGAGAGAGAAGGATGACTGAACTCCTCCCAGCAGTTCATCCCCCCAGCCAAGAACAGACCCTCGCGAGGCTGTTCTTCCTTGTATTGTTCATCATCACCAGCCCAAGAGGCAATCCACCACACCACACACTGGAGTAGGGTATTACACCACAACGGTGGCCCGAACCAGTATAAACCCTGTGTCTCTTGTGTTGTTCTTTCCATAGCTTAGATCTTTGCGTGGCGGAGGGGTGCAGGTAGGTAGGAGGCGAAATCTCCATGCACACCTCAGTGTTCGAACCTCAAGGGTCTGCCGGAACCCGAAATCCGACAACATGGGAGGCCATCTAGGGTAACACGAGCTTCTCCCAGTACCGGATGATGCTTGCCACAATTCTTCGTGAATACTGCCAGAGATGCACACCACTCTTGTCGGGAAATCAACAAAAAAGAAGGCATGAGACGCTACCAAGTCCATGCGCATATGCGATACAAATGTCCACGAGGCCAAGTTGCAAGGTCTCCTCAAGGAGTTCGATGGAATCCACATGAGGAGTGACGAGACCATCGACAAGCTCGCCATGCGCATGAGTTGGGTTGCCAACAACTTCCACACCCTCGGTGAAAGCCTTGACGCGGAGAAGGTGGTCAAAAAGATGCTCCAGTCGTCATGTCCAAGTACACACAGGTAGCTATTCCAATTGAGCTTCTACATAATCTGAAAAATATGTCTCTAGAGGAGTTTGTTGGGCGGATCAAGACTGTGGAGGATAGGTGCGATGTAGGTGAGGGCGTCGGCAACTTCGACCATGATGGTAAAAGTTTCTTGCTCATCACAGAGGACTGGCTTGCTCGCTACAAAAACTGCGGCGACGCTGGCAAAAAGAAGATCACCTTCGATACCTGCAAGGTTCCCAGTTGCAACTGCTATAACTACGGGCACTTCCTGAGAGATTGCATGGCGCTAAGGAAGGAGTACTGGAGGAGATGTATCTTGCCGCTGTGAACACCAATAGTGAGCCAACTCCGCTTTGAAGGTTTGACATGAAAGTTCTCAAATAAATGACAACAAGGCTAAATGGGTGATTGTTAGAGTTAAACTTGTTGTATAGGTTTTGTTCGTGTTTTATTTGTATTGCATAGTTTCACTGGTAGAAAAAGGGCCTGTTGTCCCGGTTCGTAAGGGCCTTTAGTCCCGGTTCCTGAACCGGGACTAAAGGGTCGGTACTAATGCCTTGACCCTTTAGTCCCGGTTCAAACCAGAACCAGGACTAAAGGCCCTCCACGTGGCCGGTCCACCTTTAGTCCCGGTTGGTAACACCAACCGGTACTAAAGGAAATTTTCTGATTTTTTTTTGAAATTTTTTTGAAATTTTTTTTGAAATTTTTTATTTTCAAATTTCTGAATTATTTTAACCTCTAATCTCTAATCACCCCTCATCACTGCTCAATTTAGGGCCAGTTCTTTTCGGCGATTCTCCCAGAATCGCCCCCCTCCCCAGCTTCTCCCAGAATCGCCACTCCATATTTTTTTACAATCCTATTTAGTTAAGGTCTAATTAGCTAGGATTGTAAAAAACATATGGAGTGATGATTCTGGGAGAAGCTAGGGAGGGGGGTGATTCTGGTAGAATCGCCCAAAAGAACTGGCCCTTAATCTCTAATCACCCCTCATCATTCCAAATCATCTAACTTTCCGGACGGTCACCCATCCTCCCACTCCCCCAGCCTGAGCACACTTAACTTCCGGGTTCTATTCTCCCTCGTTTCCAAGTCTACACTCGTTGTTTTCCTAACAATAGTAAGATGTCAATCCTATTAACCCTCAGGAGTTTAGCTTGAGCATGAAGTCACACATTTCACTGTTTGAGTTTGAAACTATTGTTCTAAAAAAACAATAATTTTTTAGTAACACTAATATTTCTTGAATAAGTAGTTTGACCATTGTTTGACCACAGTTTGACCATAGTTTGACCAGATTTGACCAAAATTCAAACAAACTGAAATAATTATTTAATAACACTAATATTCTTGAATAATTATTTAGTAACACTAATACTTCTTGAATAAGTAGTTTGACCATAGTTTGACCAGATTTAATGAAAATTTTAAAAAACTGAAACTTGAGCATAACTTTTTTTCCTTTTGGAATTTGAGGATTCTACAGATTTGCAAACAGGCCGTAGGCGGTCTCCATCGGATGTAACTTTTCGAGTAGATGATTTTTCATATAAAAAACTTTTTAATTCGAGTTATGCCCATTTTACAAATTCCAGAGAGATTTTGTAAATAAAGTCGAAATTCATATTTGTAAATTTTCCCAACAACTAGACCACATATCACATGGGAAACTTATTTTATTTATTTTTTTTGACATTTTCATCATTTTCTTTTGTTTTTTCTAAAACTGAAAAGGCGGTCCAGCAGGGAGAGAATTTGAAAATGGGACCTTTAGTACCGGTTCGTGCCATGAACCGGTACTAATGCCTCAAAGCCCATTAGTCCCAGTTGGTGGCACCAACCGGAACTAAAGGTCTAACCTTTAGTACCGGTCAGGTGAACTGAGACTAATGCCTTAGCCGCACGAACCGGGGTAAATGCACCCATTGGTCCCGGTTCTGGACTGAACCGGGACTAATGGGCTTACCCGGCCTGGACCAAAGCCCCCTTTTCTACTAGTGTTTCATTGGTCTAGAAATTTGAGTAGTCAACTAGGTTGAAGGAAAATTGCATCTGTTGCTTAATGACACGGCAGTTCAGCAGCTGGAGCGACGTGAGCACATCTGCAAGTTAGTAGCCGCTCACAACCATGCATGTGCTCTTGGAGTCAGTTTGTGTACACATTTGTTTTACCTAGGAACGCCACACTCAGTGAAGATGCGGCCTAGACGTGCAAGTGTCATGTATACCTGTGTTAGTTAGCTAGATTGCATGAAGGTTGTTAGAGTCAACTGAAAGAATGCATGCTGTTTTGGATGAGTCTTTGTTATTAGGCTGTGAGAACAAAGGAATAAGAAAAACGCAGGTGTGTGCGTCCACAAAACAAAACTATTCTTATACACTATGTTGTTTAAGCTTGTGTATGTGTCTTTCTTGGGGCAGCCCCAACACAGAGATTGCTTCTTCATTATTTGTAAAAATTAGACTAGCATATAAAATGTTAATTAGAAGAGTTAAGATTTAATTGAAGCTCGTGGTTTTACATGACAAAACGACCATTTAGTAAATGAGTTACGGAATTTTAGATACATAAATTATATGAAACGAATGTTTCCTCGGTGTGGTTCCCTGGCACCGCGTAACGATGTGCATATGACATACTCCCTCCGGTTCTTTTTACTCTGTATATAAGAATTGTCTGAAGTCAAACTTCATAAAATTTGACCATATTTCTATTAAAAAAAATCAACGTCTACCATGCTAAAATTATACAATATGAAAATTTAAGTCATGACATCTACTGATATTGATTTCATATTATGAATGTTGGTATTTTTTTCTATAAAGTTGGTCAAACTTTACGAGGCTTGACTTTAGACAAATCTTATATGCGAACTAAAATGGACCGGAGGGAGTGCATGACTATTTGTTCATGGATAGCAAGGTCAGCTCTATTGCTAATATTGTGCTAACACATTATAGACTGTCTATTTTGAAACAAACAGATGAGATCGCTGGGATGCGCAAACAATGTTTGCAGACTGTTTCCACATTTACAGGAACCGTGCCCAAAACCATTCAACAATGGTCACCTTAAGGCATATTTTCCTATTTTCTCTCTTGCTCTCCCCATCTCGCTTCGTCCCGAGCAGCACCATTGTCGGCATCACTACTATAGGAACCCATTACTAGCCAAAAGACTAAAGACTGAAAAGTCGATCGATCTGGTCAAGATCTTATAGCATTGTGTCGGATCTAAGCGAGCCGCACCGCCTTCCAAACAAAGGAGAGGGCGAGATGAGCTAAAAAGGGACACACATACAAATCCAATGAACGACAACTTGACTACTTCTGTTCGGGGGAGAAGTCACCATGCACACAACCAGGAAAAGAAACTGAGATGTAGAGAGCAGGTAGTGGAGTTAGATAGCTGAGCACATGGATTAGAAACGAGACACAGTTTGAGCGAGATAGGGGGCATCGGCTGTGGGATGGGAACGACGACGTCCCAGGCAGATGCGGCGGTTTGGTGGTCGACGATCCGAGGAATAGAGAGGAGGAGGCGGGTGAGAGGTTGGAGGAGGCAACAGATTTGAGGGAGTGTAGCTGACGGCGATGAATTTGGAGTGCAGTCGGCCGCCAACAACAATCTAGGTATTCACAAATGTCTCTGGAAAGAACCCAGTGAGATTGAGACTGATTGGGGATTTTTTTCACTCTAGGCTTGACCACATGGTTGGTCAAAAAATTGCTAAGTCGTCGGGCATTTTGGCACATGTAGCTGAATCCATGGTGCGAAAAATGAACGGCGCACAACTATAGGGTTATTTCTATGAGTTTTTTGTCAGTGCACAGGATAACTAATGTATTACCGATGTGTGGGTTTGAAGTACATGTCAATTTCCCTGTGTGCTGGCGCCAACCAACAGAAAAAATGAACGATACACAATTTTTTTTAGTTACTGGTTGTGATGCATGATTGCATGTTTTGATGGATCCTTTTCAAATGCATGGTTGTATGTTGTGATGCTTCATTTTCTATTCATGGTGAAAATCGAGGTGGCATAATTGCATATTAAGATAAATAGAAATATTGGGATCACTTTTTCTCTCTTGGGTACTCCCTTCATTTTTATTTTTATAGTTTGCATATTGACTTTGACTGAAGTCAGATTTTATAAAGTTTAATCAAGTTTATAAAATAATATGAATATTTACAATAAAAAATATATATAATGTGTAAATATATTTAAGGACAAATCTATCTTTTAATTTATTAAAATTTAACTTCAGATAAAAGCTAATACTATATGAAGTAAATAAAAACGGTGGATGTATTGTGCGCCATTCCTCCTCGCCTTTCAACCCAACATTTTCATTTAAAATCCTCCCGCCGTACCGACGACATTTCACCGCCCATTTCCCAACTTTTTCCCCATCCATCCATCCCGTCACATCACCTTTCACCTCCCACTGTCTCCTTCCCGGCCCATTCACCAGCCACCCCTCCTTCATTCTCTTCAAGAGCTGGCTAGGTAGCCAGCCACCATTAATACTCACCCCCAAGCTTCGCTTTCTCAGCCCTCCCATTCCCCTCTTTCATCGGCGTCGCAGGATCCCAGCATGTAGCTGCAGCTCCCGGCCATATCCCACACCGGTTACTTAGTTGTGGTTTCGGATAGTGATATCTCGATCGATCTTGAGGGTGAGATTCCTTCTCCGCTACAGTCCTACCTAGCTGCGTATCTCCTGTTCTTCACAAGCTCCGGAGACAGAAGCAGCTAGCAAAGTGAGTTGAGGTGAGGTGAATGCGAGCTGCTCTTGCACTCTCGTCTCGGATAGAGTAGAGCACTATTTATAGTGGAGATACTACCACTCTCTCTCAACTTGTTCCATAGGACCACCGCTCCACGGCTCCCCAAGAAGTGTCTGCGTGCGCGCGCTAACTCCTAAATAGATCTCCCATTCTTCTTCTCCTCGCCCTCGCTGGATCGTTTGGTGCTTACTGAATACTGACCAGCTGCATGGTTTGATTTGTTGCCAGATCAATGGACTTGGTACCACAGCCCGACAGCCCGCACTCGGACGGCAGCGGCGGCGCGACGTCAGGGGCTTCGTCGGCGGTGTCGTCGCTGTCGCCAGGGGGCGCGGTCTCGCCGTCGCCAAGCAGGTATGAGTCGCAGAAGCGGCGGGACTGGAACACGTTCGGGCAGTACCTCCGGAACCACCGCCCCCCGCTGTCGCTGGCGCGGTGCAGCGGCGCGCACGTGCTGGAGTTCCTGCGCTACCTCGACCAGTTCGGCAAGACCAAGGTGCACGCCGCCGGGTGCCCATTCTTCGGCCACCCCGTGCCGCCGGCGCCATGCCCTTGTCCGCTCCGGCAGGCGTGGGGCAGCCTCGACGCACTCGTCGGCCGCCTCCGTGCTGCCTATGAGGAGAACGGCGGACGACCCGAGAACAACCCCTTCGGCGCCAGGGCCGTGCGGCTCTACCTCCGCGAGGTCCGCGAGCACCAGTCACGCGCACGCGGAGTTAGCTACGACAAGAAGAAGCGCAGGAAGCCGCCCCACCCCCCCGGCTCCGGCGACATCCCCTCCCACGAAGGCAACAGCAACGGCCACCACCAGTACCACCAGATGCCCCCGCCGCCTCCCGGCGCCGCAGCGTGAGCCGGTGACCGCCGTCCGCCGGAGCTAGCTAGCTGCAACGACTTTCCCTACGTATCCTATGTACTCCCACCATGTCTCCAGCTAGCCACCGAGCTCTTGCTTACTATAAGCCCCTAGCTAGCTAGTCTCCTCCTACTAGTGCAAGCGCGGATTAAATTCCTCCATGAATCCATGCTTGCTACCCCTACTAGTCTAGTACTACTCTTGTCCGGATCATTTCCAAACTTTGATCATATGATATGATCCCTACTATTTGTTCGCTGGTATTTTCCCCACCCTCTGCTACTCTGCGTTGTTTGTGATGAACATGAACTGATGTTGTGTTTAGCGAACTAGCTAGCTCCATGGCTCGATTTAATCCTCTACGTAATCGATTTGGTACAGTTAATTAGTTTAGTCCTCTTGTAACCTCTCGCATCTTGTTTTTGATCTATCTCTTGGTATTGCAATTGATGAGCAATGTGATGTCCTGTTGCATCTTGTGAGGGGGTACGGTGTGGTCGTGGAGTCATGTCAGTGTGTGTCGTCCAGGTCCAGTTGGGGAATCTAACGTACTGTTCTCCCTGGGGAGGGGAGGGGTCACGGACGGGCGATGGACATGATACGACGCCTCTTTTAGGGCGCTTTTGCATTGCTTTTTATGGTAATAATAGTACTCCTAATACCACAAGTAGCTAGGCTAGGCTATCTTGACCACCTCTGCCATGCAGCGTCTCTGTCAGGCTAAAACAGCTGAATTGGAATGTATACAGAAATGGTAGCAGCCTAGGTACGCCCTACCTAGCTTGTTTCAGCTTTGCACCCATCGTACTGATGTACATGCAGCACTTGAAAAACCTCGTGAGTTTTCAGTGGTTACTTAGGCATAAATATATGCACACGTACATGTGATTTCTCTGTTTAATACTCCTTTTTTTTTAATAAAAAGGTAGAGCATTTTCTACCTTATGCATTGAAAACGGGTAAAATACCAGAGTGACCGGAGTCATTTACATGAAGGTGATGTTAACGCAGCACACTGTGTGCAGCAGGCTATCACCAGACCTGAGAAGGATACAAAGTAGAAGGTTGGAAAAGGAGAGGTGAAAACTCGAAAGGCTAAACAGGAGCAAGGGCAGTTGCCCAGGGAGAAAAGCTATATCTATTGTGCAGTTTAGCGTGTAGGCTCCATAGTCTGATTAGCTCGACAACCTTGCTGTATAGTTGCCTGTCAGTCGAGAAGGACCCATGAAACACCTGATCATTCCTGGCGTTCCAAAGGGCGACTGCGCATGCTGAGAAAAGAATATACCACTTAGTGCCGTGTCGAGCCCGCGCTTGCTGTGAACACAAGAGGTCTCCTGCTTCAGTAGACAATGCGACCAGGTCTTGTATCCTTAGTTTGGACCATAGGGCTTGAGCTAGCTTGCAACGTAGCAAGATGTGGTTCATTGTCTTCGCGGCCGGGCATAGATCACACCCGTTATGTGATACTTGTCTGTCCCAATGCTTTTTTAGCATATTGTCTCGAGTGTTGTGCCTGTCCTGAAGGGAAATCCACAAGAAAACATGGTGCTTGTGTGGTATGATCCTGTCCCAGATATACTTGGCTGACGGACAAAGCTTCCCTCTAAAAGTGAACAGCTTGTAGAAGTATGTGGTGGTAACAGATTTGTCTCCCAAAAGAGGCTCTCTGGCGTCTGACATGCCTTCTTGCAGCTGAACATTATTCAGCAATGCAGACATGTCTTGAAGCTCCTGTGTTGCTATGGAAGAAAGGTTTGGATGTAGTTGAATGCTCCATTGCCCGTCTCTGAACTAGGAGGCCACTGTGCAGAACTTGGACGTGGAGAAGGAGAAAAGAGTCGGGAAGCAAGTCATGAGCCGACCACATTCGAGCCAGTGGTCATGTCAGAAAGCAGTGCCCTGCCCATCCCCAACCTTGCATTTGGTAGCCTCCATAACCATACACAAGGTGGACCTGAGACCTCTCCAGATAGTTGTGTCCCGATTTTGTGGAGACCAGGAGATTTCCTTGTGACATATGCGTGTGCAAACCAATTGTAGCATGGCACGTCGCGCTGTTGCAAGATCTTTGCCATGAATTTGCAGACGAGGGCCCTGTTGTGTGCTGCAATGTCTCTTACCCCCAACCCTCCATGCTCTTTTGGCAACGTGACCATCTCCCAAGTTACAAGGCATTGCCCTCCCTTGGCTTGATTTTTTCCTTGCCATAAGAAGCCCCTCAGGATTTGTTTAACCTTGTCTAGCGATTGTTGTGGCCATAGAAAACAGCTCATGAAGTAGCTGGGGATCGCTGCGAGGACTGCGTTGACCAAGGTGAGGCGGCCCTGTAACATCCCCAACATCACACTACAGTAATCTCCTCCTAATGAGGTGAAGGAAATATGCCATAGAGGCAATAATAAAGTTATTATTTATTTCCTTATATCATGATAAATGTTTATTATTCATGCTAGAATTGTATTAACCGAAAACATAATACATGTGTGAATACATAGACAAACAGAGTGTCACTAGTATGCCTCTACTTGACTAGCTCGTTGATCAAATATGGTTATGTTTCCTAACCATAGACATGAGTTGTCATTTGATTAACGGGATCACATCATTAGGAGAATGATGTGATTGACTTGACCTATTCCGTTGGCTTAGCACTTGATCGTTTAGTTTGTTGCTATTGCTTTCTTCATGACTTATACATGTTCCTATGACTATGAGATTATGCAACTCCCGTTTACCGGAGGAACACTTTGTGTGCCACCAAACGTCACAACGTAACTGAGTGATTATAAAGGTGTGACGCCCGGATAATTAGGCTACAGTAATCCCACGTTAACGATGCCACATCACCTCGGTTATTGTTGCTAATCTCGCGTTAGTTCGAAACCGATTCGAATTCAAATTCAAAATCAAGCAAACAATAAAAGTTTTCAAATATTAAAACTAAAATGTTCAATAAATAGTAGATAAATCAGAGGCTATGATAAAATTGTAAACAACATTATTGAAATTTGATAAGTGACTTAAACAACCTCAAACAGTGGCTGAAAACATTATTTACTAACATTTTTATTAATATAAAATAAAGATGAAATGATAATTACCCCAAACTAGTTTTTGATGATAGGATATATTATGCTGTGATTTGTGGGCCAGCTCTCATATTTTACAAAACTCATTTGGTGCCCAAACAATTAGCCAAAACAGAAAAGAAAAGAAATAAAAGAAAGTATAAATAAAAAAAAAGCCTGGCCTTTACTGTGCCACCGGGCCTAAGTGCTACAGTGCACAAAGGCCCAGCCCACGTCGGCCTTCCACTTCCCTGGACAAGAGGGAAGGCAGAGCCATGGCCGTGGCCTCTACTCGTCTGTCCACGCGCCCGGTGTCGCCGTGGCGGCCATCCCCTGTGTCGTCGTCGACCTACAAGGCTCCCTCGGCATAGTGGACGAACCCTAGCCCCCTCCTTTCTTCCCCCCTCGCGCCCCTCACTCCTTCTCCCATGTTTGCCCGACACCACCATCGCCACCTACTTCGTCGCCTTCGTCCATGCCCACCAGAACGCCGTCGTCGTCCTCGCAGCTAGTGCCGTCCCTAAGCGTTGAGAGGATGTCGAGGAGATGCGCCACATCCTCCTCGTCGCCTACATGGAGCATCGCAACCGGGGTGCCTTGGAGCCTCGCCATCGTCCTCGCCTCCCCCCGACTGCGACGCCACGGTCGACGCCTCGATCCGCCGCCCCCAGAGCTTCCCCGGCCTCGTCGCCCCCTCCACGACCTCCCATTGTGTCCCCGAGGGTCACCGTCGTCCGCTACTTCGACTGACGTGTCATCGCCGTCTTCCTCCTCTGCTCCGACGAGCTTCGCCACCGATTCTGCCGCACCGAACCCTCCTCGAGCATGCTTGAGCACATCTGCAGGAGCACGATGAGCCTGCGCCTCTTTCCCCTCTCCTCTGAGCTCGATCTCGAGATCCTAGCTCGCCTCCCCGTCGTCGCCGTATCTCGTAACCGCCGTCCATGTAACCGCCGCGCGCACAGCTACCGCAGCCCATGCTCGAGCACATCATCGTGCTCAGCATCGCCGTAGGAACCCGGAGCGACCATCCGTTGGACCTATCGTGCCCAGCATAGCCGTTCCCCATCGCGTCCGACTCCGGCGTCCGCACACCTCGACGACTGCACCGTCTACGGCCGCCCCAGGGCCGGCCACCGCCATGGTTCGTTGCAGCTCCTCGCTCTCGACCGAACGCACCCCCCACGCGTCCTACCTTGCCCCGTAGCGCCGTCCCCGACGACGCCCATAGCTCGCCGCCGCCTTAGCTCCTCGCCGGCGCCATTTCCGACAGCTCTAGCTCCGGCCGGCCTCACCACACGATGCGGCGCGCTCTCCCCGTTCGAACGCGCTCGCCCGCACCTATTTTGGCTGCCGGACGGTGAAACCCGGTGCACGGCCGCGCCCTCCGCTGTGGATTTGGTCGCCGGAGCTAGCTCTGGCGCCACCGCTGACCTGGACGACCGGGGCCACCCCCCGAGTCACTGACTAGTGGGCCCGGGGCCTCCTTTTGACCAATTGACTAAGTCAACTGTGCTGACTAGGCTGGCCCAGTCACTGACATGTGGGCCCCGCGCTAATTTAACTGATTTTGTAAATAAATAAAAGGTTATTTAAACTATTAATTTACTAATTAGCTAATCAGTCTTTGCCTAATGGGACCCACCCCCTATTTAATCTGTAACAAGTTAGTTAGTCCTTAATTACCTAATGTGAGACTGACCAGTGGGGCCCACTGGTCAGGTTTGACCTAGTCAGCTGGCTCGACCTGCTGACATCACACCTATGTCATGATGACGTCATCATTTTCTATTCTGGATAATTTGAATTTAAATAAATAATTAAATTCTAGAAATTCTTTAGAACTTTGAAAATTCATATAAAATAAACTGTAACTCGGATGGAAAAACTTTGTACATGAAAGTTGCTCAGAACGATGAGACGAAT